GATTCTTGCCTAAAAATTCAGATGCTGCACTGATATTAAGGCATATAATATATACCATCAAATGTAAAATATCATTTTATATGTCAAACATCTCTGTTTAGTAACGTGCAAATAGACAATCATAATAATGATACTTTAAAAAAAGAATTGGCCTGAATTTGCAGATTTAGTGACATTGCCCCTCAGGCATCATTTACAAATGTAATTACATTCTCAAAATGATACATTGCCTGCATAGAGACCAAACAAGACCTCCCTGTTTGTGTTGCAGACCCTGTTCCTGTGTGTGTTTGAGAGACCGGATTAGTGTCGGCTGTCTGCACCCTCTCTACCAGACAAGCAGTCAGCAGGGATTTTAGGGTCTGAGCAGCGACACATAGTGAGAGAGAGAGAGAGAGAGACAGAGAGAGAGAGCGGCAGTAACCCAATCCTAGTCCCAATCTGATTTCCTAACCCGGACAGAAGTCCTCCTCTTCCTGTTTCATTCATTAATGACAGCTTGTAAACTCTACAGGCCTTCTGGCAGCTGCTTTGAGTGCAGGGTTTAACGGTGACCAGATAGTGAATTTACATAGCAGGGTTTACTACATAAACATGTACAGACATCAATAGATTTTCTTTTTCAACACATTGCAGGCTCATTTACACAACAGGGAATTATGATTGTTAGTGGACAGCAGGCTATTTAAACAATGTAAGGGTTTATTTCTGTGCTTTTTATGCCTTTATTTGAGAGAACAGTGGATATATTCAGATATCAGGGAGAGAGAGAGAGAGTGAGGAATGACATACGGGAAAGGAGCCACGGGTCAGCTGCTTAAGAGACTACAGCCTCCATACATGGCACACTATCTATTATGCTATTGGCGCCCTAACAGCAGGCACATTTGAAAGAACATTCGATTTGGTTCCTTTGAGAAAATGGTTTCCTCATCAAGAACATAAAGTGTCTATTAACAAAACTTGATGCATGCAGCACAAGACAAACTCCAAGGGCTAAACTTAAAACAACTTTGAAGGCCCAAGCCAAGTAGTATCAGAACAAAAACATGCAAGCTAATTGTTAAAGCCAAACAACAAACCATTCGTGTTGAGGTGCATTGGTTTCATAAGAAAATGTTTTGCTCTCACGTGACATTTTTAAAATCTGAAATATTTAGTTATATTTTAAAAAACAACTTGTTTGAACTGTAAACTTTTTAGGTTATAACTTGATTGCAAAACACCCTTTCATCAGAATCAGATCTATTTGCCGGGTGCTCACACATACTGTACAAGGAATTGGACTTTGACAGACTGTGCTCTATGCACAAACGCATAACATTAAATATTAAACTACATGGAATAAACCAAAAATAGTAAAAGACTATAAGACAACAGTGCAGTGGTGCAAAAGATGCTGGAATGAACATGATAATAAATTATGTAACGGGGTAATTTACATGAGGTAGAGAGTTATATTTCCAGTATTTAAATTGAGGCAGTGTGCATAGGTTAATGTCAGATAACAATATTTACATTTACAATTAAGTGAGTGACCATATATAGATAAATGATTTTACTAACATTGACTGTGGGTGTTTTGTTAAAGGGTTATTGCACAGCGACAGGTCAGACACTCTGTGACTGTGTAGCGTTCAACAGAGTGACAGCCTGGGGGATGAAACTGTTCTTATGTTAGGTTGTTTTGGGGTATACGCTGATCTGCAACGTGTACCTGAGGGGAGGAGCTTAAACAGTTTGTGTCCAGGGTGTGAGGAGTCTGAAGTGATGTTACCTGCCTGTTTCCTGACCCTGGACCAGTACAAGTCCTGGAAGGAGGGCAGATCAGCGCCAATGATTTTTTTTCTGCAGTCCTGATTGTCTGTTGCAGTCTGTGTCTGTCCTGTTTGGTTGCAGCTTCAAACTAGACAGTGATGGAGGTGCAGTGAACTGACTGGATGATGGAGGTGTGAAACATGTTCAGCAGCTCCTGAGGTAGGTTGATCTTCCTGAGCTGACGGTGGAAGTACATCCTTTGCCGGGCCCTTTTCCTGATAGTGTCTGTCTATGTGGGGGGACCACTTGAGGTCTGGGGAAATTGTGGATCCCAGGAACCTGAAAGTGTTCACAATAGACGCTGTTTTCTTTAATATGGTGAGGGGGGAGTGTAGGGGGCTTCTCCTGAACTAACTGTCTTGAGCAGGTTCAGCTCCAGATGGTTCTTCTGACCACACCAGAGGGTCAGCTGTTCCACCTCCCATCTGTTTACAGACTCATAACCGTCGGTGGTGTCGTCTTCAAACTTCAGGAGTTTTACAGAAGGCTCCCCTGAGGTGCAGTCATTCATGTAGAGGGAGAAGAGCAGTGTGATGAGAACACCCCCCCTGGGGTGTGCCAGTGCTGATTGTCTGAGTGCTTTATGTGATGCTCCCCAGCCTCACCTGCTGCCTCCTGTCAGTCAGGAAGTTGGGGACCACCACGCAGGATGGAGGCACATTTGTATGCAATCACAAGTAAAAAATCACTTAAAATTGAAACAGTCTGTGGGGAGCTCTTCAAGGTATGATACAGATTAAATTTATTACTGAAGCCTCTATTTGATTAAGTTGTCCAGACCATCAGCTTGAAGAGTCATGATATCCAAACAGTTATTTTAAATGCCATCCACAGCTGACAGCTGGTCAGATTCACAGCAGGTTGACCATTTCCTTTACAAAGCTGAGTACTTTAGTCACTTAAATAAGTGAGGACAAGATTTGAAGCAGGAATACTACCATGTGCACATGTACAGGTAATGAGACATATCTCTTTTCTATAAAGAGGCCTCCAAACTCAACACAAAAACCATGTTCCTTACAGCTGCTTTGAGTGAGTATTCAGACTTTTAGTATTTAAAATTTATGTAATGCACTCACTTTAATGTCTTTTTCACATCCTTCAAAAACCTGGCCAACCAGAGCCAAAGTCACTCACATTCTGACACCATTTATTATACAAACCATATCTGTGTAAGTTTTCAGTCATCCAGGTCATGGTAAATTTGAGGTTGATCCAAAGGCAGCTGGACTTGATTGATCTTTAACATGCTGTTTCCGATTCATTGATTCAAGATCTTCAATCAAGTCCAGTTGCCTTTGGATCGAACTTCGAACATACAAACCATACAAACTTTCCAGGAACAATTTCGATCCAAATTGAACCTGTAACAACACAGAAGGACACTAAAATTAGAAGAAACTTAGCTATAGTCAATGCTGGGTGGGTTCCTTACCCACCATCCTCATGTACCTATAGTCACACAATTAACACTCCACAAATGATAGGAACTATGATAATGGCCTGCAGATGGATGGTCCTTTTAAGGTTCCTTACTCGGGCCAGGAGCGCCAGTGCTCATTTCATTCATCCATTTGCATAAGATACAATGGATGGTCCATGTTGACCTTAGAGACTCTAGATGCATCCATCAATAGCTCACACCGGCTAAAGATATGGCTGATTGCAAGCTGTTCAAAGCCATGGACAACGTTAGCACACTGTTCTGGTGTGGGGATGTGGACCATTTCCAATGGAGACAGGATCAAATATCATCCAATGGATTTATCAAATATAACTGCCTCCAGCAGATCTTCCTCCTGAGATGGGCCATTACTACCTTAACACATAGACTGAAGGGGTGGTAATCAAACTGTGCAGTTTCACTGTATCTAAAAAGATTTGTATGAAATAGAGACAAATGTGTTGGTTGCACTACTGACTGGGGCCGATTTAATCAGATCATGAATGAAGCAGCATGTAAAAGGTCACATTATGAAAAACACACTTTACAATGTTTTTCTAACACTAATATGTGTCCCTATAGCCTTGTCTACAAAAAACCCAGTTATGAGAAAAGTCCATCTTTTCTGTCTTTTGCCTGCTCCACTTTTCAGAAAATGTGCACTCAAACAGGTCGTTTGGAGATTTTCCCAGATGACATCACAAAGGGCAGTAACCCCTCCCCCAGGTTGGTGACACCCCCACAGCTAGGTGTTTGTTCTGCCCTCTGAGTCTGCCTTCTCACTGTAAACAATAGAACATGGAGCAAGAAACCCCGAGCCACCCAAACCCTTCTAGAGAGGGGGCGTGGTCACCTACAGAGCTCATTTACATTTAAAGCTACAGACAGAGAAACAGCCTGTTCTGAGCATTGCTGAAATAGAGGGGTTTATAGACATGATCAAATACAGGTTCGGAGTGGATATCTGACAATACACTTCAAGGACATGATTTGGGGAGCTCTGAGACTTGTTTAAACTTATGTTTAAACTTAAAAATATGTGACATTTAACCAAAGCACTGAAGTCTGTCTTTTATGAAAAGTAATGTTTGTTTGGTGATGTATTCATTTCATCATTTTACTTTTGAAAGCTTTTCCAATCAATAATACAAATGGGGCTAAAGATGAGCAAAGTGAGGGAATCGTTTATAGGCCTGAAACAGGATGTAAAGAACTGACTGGTTAACAGATCTTAATAGTTCAATGCTGGAACACTGAAATGTCCCCATTGTAGACTTACATCAGTAATATCCCATCATCTGAATTTATAGGATTGGTGGAGTCTGTTTGTATCAGCACTGAGTTCTTCTTCACACCTTTCTTTGGCCTCATGATGTTTTCCATTGAGTTCAAGAAAAAATGGTAAGGAACATCCATTGGAAGTAATTTATAATACTTTTAAAAGCATTGAAGATCAAAATTCTAAATGTGTTCGACATTTTTACTTTTTGCCTTTATTTCAAAATAAAAGTACCCTCAAATAATTCTTTCAGAATTAACCTATACTCAAACTGCTTTCAAATAGCCTATTATTCATGAGAATGATGAGGATCATTGATGTGTGAAAACTGAATAAAGCCTGAATTAAAAATTTAATCCAATAAATAACACACTTTAGAAAAAAAAAAAAATAAGACCATAAAGACTTTCCAATAGTTTTATGAAATGTTATTATACAGTATTTACTATGAGGGAGCTAAATCCCAAAGAATCTCGAAAAAAGTTTGACACTTGAAGCCCACGTCAGAGCCCTCCACTGGTTGACATCATGACACCAACACTGCACTGCCCACTGAGCATTGGACAAAAATATAATAATGTTTAACCTAAGTAGAACATTTTGTGTCCATGTAGAATTACATGTGCAAGACATTAATAAACATGTGGTTTCTAGGTTTTTAAGGGTCAACAGAAGCATACCACTGAAGTTAGTGTTTCACCAGGGTGTGTTTCATTTGAACAGATCTGTGGATTGAATGTCAGTGCGTGACAACTGGCATTACAAGAATGACAACTCCACCCTGCTCAGTGTTTTGCAACCTTTTGGTTTGCTCTGAATAGTCAGTATAGGGCCAGGTGCCACTCCCATCACAATCAACCAGGATGGGATGAAAGGTGGCTTTTAAACTGTCTTTATTTCCAGGACAAACAGATCAAGAGGGTTAACAATAGGTTACACTACATAGACTTTATCTGCACCAGCTGGCCAGACCAGTCACTGTTCAGCCATAAACATCGCTAAAGATTGGAACAAAAATAAAAATTATACAAAAAGAATAAAATACAAACAAACATTCGATCCCATCATCAGTAATGAAAAGTGCACCCAAAGTTAGAAAAATATCACATCACAAATGATCATCATCAACACAAGTACACAAACAGCTAAAGGAAAACTATATTTTGGAAGCATATAACTAAAAAATAGTTTCCTACAACAGCAAAAAGTCCCAAGGCCATTTGCAGGAGTATTTTCAGGATGTTTATTCCCCTTGGAAAGCCACAGCTATCGATTATATTTTTTGGATTGATTGATTGATGTCAGGATGTAAACACAACTTCAATAAATATGTGAACAGCGACTATCTTAGATCAGCACAAAAACTGTATAAAATCCGCTCAGTTTAAGATAACGATCCAATATCACCCAGTGAGGACACACATGCAGCCCCTTATCTTCTCAACTAGCAAGCCAAACTTTTTAAAACCCTAGGCGACCTGTCTGAAGTTTAAACAGCTGCGCTAAATTGCTGTTAAGCAGTTTGGATTACAGGCACAACCGTTAGCTACAAGCCTATCGTTATAGATATCGTTAGCCCACATGTTGGTTGTTAGGCAGACTGCCTCCTAACGTCAGCGCTAACCGTTAAAGTTTTAGCCGTCAACTTATTTAATAATAAGTTAACACAAATGGTAGCACACAAAGTAAAGGTTTCACTGTGATGGTCTTGTTGTCTTTTACACAATTGCAGCTTCTAAGAACGATTTTTAAAAGAATCAACATGAGCAGTCATTGGAAAGTATTTGACATCTGACCTTTTGCATGACAACTCTAGAGTTTTATTAGCTTTAACTCTGGAAGAATATTCACTCAAATCAACACCAACCACCAAATATATGCCAAAGTAAAATCATCATAATCGAATGCTGACAAATTAGCTGTTTTCAAGACCTTGAAACGTTTTTTTAATGTAGGCCAAGCTGGAGATAATCCTACACTTTCTATTCTAGATACAGACTATGAGCTCCTGCCCTCTGGTAAGAGGTTCAGAGTTCATCGTTGTAGACTGAACAGGTTTGAAGATTCATTCATCCCTGTGTCTTTAAAACTTTGAAAAGAAGGGGGCAAATAAGACAGGATAGGCTCCGGACTATAATTTCTCTTTGCATTTTTTCACTGGTATTTTGAGAACCTGATGTTATTTTATTCTTTACATTATGTAATGATATTCATGGTTTTATGTTTAATGTGAATGATGTCGACTGTTGTCTTTTTATGGCTGCAGCATGGGTAAACAGCCCAAGACAAATTTCTCACTTTGTGGCACAGATAAAGTTAATCTTGAATCTTGATCTTCACACTCTCAGACTCGGATGTACTCAGATGAATGATCAGTACAGTTCCTGTGCAGGTTTTGACAATAACAATAATGCAATGTGATGGTGAGAGTGATTTGTCTTCGTTCCTGATTCTGGCCTTAGAAATCTGAAACCTCTGTGGTCTGTGGTGTGATGTGTAGCTGTGGGGTTTAGCGTTCAGGACTGTAACAGGCTGTTTAGTTGGTGTATGCCTTAGATCTATCGAGTGTGCTTGGAGGCAGTTTGTGGTCCCTCCAATTTGAGGAGTCACCAGTCCCATGGTCTGAAATTTAGATAAGAACATGTTAGTGAAATGCAAATGATTGATTGAAAGTGTGTTTCCTTTAACAGAGAACTTACCAGTGGTTCCACCGGTCCTTGTGCCCCCATCAGTTTGCTACATAGAAAGACCATAAGAGTTATAAGCACAGTGCAGACAAAGGGATAAGGATACATTATACAGTCAATTTAAGGGAGCGTCTTCATGATAAAAGTATTCAATTATGAGCATGGCATGTTTTACCCACTGGTGAGGGCAAGGCATGCTAGCTTCTTTCTCTATGCTCACTCTCTGTACATGTCAGTCACTATGTCAGTATTTTGCAAAAGAGTGCAAGTCTGTAGCATTTTGGTGAAAAATTAGGGGGCAGAGATTCTTTTTGAAGTTCATTTACAGATCTACTGAGACAAAAGTGTTGCCATATGTCTTGTATTATTAAGACTCACGGCTAGCAATTACCTCGATAGTTATCTTGTGTAAAAGACAGACAGCTGGTGGACTGAGCTATTCCAAATCTCTGTTGTGTTTTTAAGTGCATTATAATAAGCTTTTTGGCTGGTTGCATGACTTTAAAAGTTACATTTTTTGTTTGTCTATCTTGACAGTCCAACATGCTGACATAGCTGTAGCTCATATTGCTAAACAGCAAATAAATAGCTGTTAGCATTTAGCGTTGCCAGTCATTTAATCAAGGGGTCTGCATGAGTTTTAGCTAATGTGGCCAATAGCAGGAACAACACAACTGCCTCTACTCTCCACTTGTTCAATAGTGATAGTAAGCCACTTACTGCTCCTAATTGAAAGGTAACGGACAGCAGCTAACACTGCCTTTGTTTCTGTTGCATGCATAGGGTGAGGTCTTGAGACAGGCAGATGAAGGGATGGAAGTAATTTTAAAACAGAGAGAGGAACATGAAAAATAAAGAAGCAGTTCATACCATGTTCACGTCATAGGCATTACCGGAGTCCTGTGGATAAAACAAAGTCAAATTAGTGGCTATCAGATGTTATGATCATATTCTACATGTGTACTCAGGGTGTAAAGGACAAAGGTGCACTCTGTTCTATTTAAACAAGTGTATGGCTCAGCATCTCTAAAATTGTCACCTGTTCATGCCTTTGGCTTTTTTTTTTAAGTTTAAGCTTGTTCTTGTTTCAAGCAAACACAGGTATACTGGGTTCTTCTTTCACATCCACCTATTTTCCTTTGAAAACAGCTTTGTGTTAATAATTACTATCTTCCTGCTCGTAGACATTTCCTGCCCAGTGTTAATGCATATTAACAACGCAATGCAGTGCAAAATGAATCCTTATTTTTTTCTTACTCAGCATCATTGACTTGAGCGGCTCAGCTGAGAATTTCGTTTTTAGTCTTCTTAAAAGGAATTTTCTTGAGTTTTTGTTCATGTCCTATCTGTGTGAATGGTGAATGTTAGTTGAGGCAATACATTCCTCCATTTGCAATACTGCAGGAAACCAAAGTTCTCCTACTAACAGTGAAAAGCAGGTTGAGCCATATGTGCTAGGATGCAATGTGGGCAATCAGCCCAAGATTTAGCCTCTGGTCAAACTAGCCAAAACGCTCTTCATTTTGTGTACTATAAACCTTGGAGAGAAAAGGACCTTGGAGACAGGGTTGGACATTGTTGAAATTTCCCTTTAAGTCTGTTAGGACAAAATCTCATGAAGTAAAAAAAAAAAAAAAAATCTAATTCAGGATTTCACAGAAATATTCTGGACCAAACGTTTTTAGCCAGTTGGTATTTGCTTTTGATATAAGTCTTGTTATATCTAGCGATGAAGCTTTGACCAGTTTTTCTACTAAGATTATGTTTGTGCTTCCTGCCATTATTCAGAGGAAAGGTCAGTGGATAGAGAAGGAAAGTTGGATAAGAGAAAAGTGCCATGGGTTTGATAGAACTTGGCACCAGACATGGCGTTAACTTGTCCTATTGGTACACTCTTATGACTGGGAGAAGATAGACTTTCCTTATTGATACTTTTATAGATTCACAATTGATTTTTGAACACAATTTAAAACCTAAAATACAGTTTCCTCTTTCAAAAATGTATTTTTACCCAGGCTTATAAAACTAGCACAGGCAAATGGCTCCTTGCTGGACATAGTTTTTCTGTCAGTGGGACAGAGAGAGGTCAATATGTGGAGAGCAGGGTCTTAACTTTCACCCAGGTAAAAGTCAGTACATTTCTCAAAGTCGATGTCCAGCATACCCTCATCTATCCCTTCCACAATGACTGACACTCCTTGTGAGAGAGTCACGTCTACTTCCATAGCCTCGCTGTAAGACTTTTCCTGAGACTGACAAATCCTAAAAAAACAACGTAGGAGGGACAAGAGGCAATGTTGAATGTCCCTGCCTGGTCTTAGTGTCTCCAGTTTGTCTTAAAATCACATATATACTTTTTCTGTTGTCATAAGCTCATAAACAGAGGCACCGCTTGTCAACAGACAAGCCAGGCAACCTCTTGTGGCCCCAGACCAGTAGGGGGCCCCAAAGCAGTGGCCTAAAATGTGCAAATTTTGCAATGACGTTAGGAAACCTCCCTAAGGTGGCCCCATCAATCAGCACTTATTCATGTTGACTTGCTGAACATTGGTCAGAGGGCCCCTCAATTGATTTTTGCCTAGGGCCTCTAGAATCACCTCTGCTCATAAAGAGTCAGCATAGAGCGCCTCTCTCTCTCTAATTCAAAGACAATAAAGCTTGCCCATCAACTATAGCTCTCTCCCTCCCCACTTTCAACATGAACAGATATTATTCCAACAAGGTTGTTAAAAAGGACATTTAAAAAAACAAGTTAAAGGATGTATTGGTCTTTTACACCCATAGAATAAAACAGGATTGCACTGTTACTTTATTATCATCAATGTTGGATTGGGCAATATAGGCAGCATGAACATATGAGTATAGTCAGCAGGTGAATAAAAGGCTGCCTCGGTAACACAACTGTTTCAGAGCCAAAATTACATGGGCCAATCCAAAATTGATTTCCTGCTTGACACTTTACCCAAACCTGCTTTGACAGACCTTGCAGTTATTGTTGCATCAATACTGGTGACAACTTGGACTTCCTCTGATAATACTTGTGACTTAACTTAGGAATGGTTTGTTGATCTAAGGCCAGACATAGATATTTCTGTAAAGCCTTTGAATAGCTTGAACGAGCTTTGGACACAAGTCTGGAGTCTTTTTTTGGAGAAGAATAGTGACTAGAGTTGGACCGGCTTTGATAGACTTAACTTGACATTCCTTGCCAAGACTCAAGACTTGATTGAGATGTTTACAGTTTTTAGTACTTGTGATTTTGTAGCGCATTAAATCTGCCAGATCATAAGTCATCAAAAACTTCCTTGTGTAATTCCTTAAAGAATACCTTGATGCCACATAGCACAGCATTGGGGTTTTTTGTTGCCTTGATTGGATAAACACACGCCCTGGCACCAGCTCCTGTCCTTTGATTATACATACTATGTTCTGTGCTGAGTTATGCTCTCTATCTTTCACCACAGTCCCATTCCTTATGAATTCCTTTGGGTGACAAACCAGCCCCTGGTATGTACAGAAATAGACTGCAGGAGATAAGACTATTGTTAAAAAAACCCACAGTACCTGTATGTTATTGTCACTGGTATGTTTGGTGTGACAACATTAGCAATGGGCGGACAAACACACATGTGCATATGTGTGTGGGAATACATTCTCATATGTATGCACATACACAATCACAAAGATCTCATTGGAACCATGTGAGGTGTAAAGTGAAATGATCCAAGCCTGTTCGGCCCGAATGCCTCAGCCCTAAAAAATGATATTCATCACCACTTCCCTGCTTCCTTCTCTTCAAACAGGCAACACCCCTCATCAAAAACCGCCCATCGAGTCAAGCAAGTCGCTGCTCTTGTGCAGCTGTAAATGTATTAATAGCAATTATTGTCTGGGGAGAGTAAATTGTTTAACGTATTATGAGCAGCCACTCCAAACAGGACAGGGCTTGTTTGAAACTGGGTGGCAGTTTTGGTCACGATTACTCATACTTGAGGTGACACCATTCTTTATGACTTTAACTCCCTATGAGTAACAGCATTTTCAACAGAGGCAGTTCATATCTTGTATTAGGAGAACAGTTATGACTAGACACACAGGTATACTTGTCACTTGCTACCTTACCTGTTACACCTGATACAAAGGGCGACAAGAGTGATGCTGAGGACGAGGAAGACAATGAGGGAGATGACACCCACTTCAGGGGATGAAAACCAACCTAACATGTCTACCATCCCTACTGGAGCCATTGTCCAAGGGATCTGTAAAGAAAGCAGAGTTCTCAAAGTTGGCCCACATATTTAAAGAAAAACCCCATGAAGGACATAAACACATTTTTATCAAATGTTTTACAAAGCGATTTCCAGTTATCTTCAAACTGAACCATCATGTTAGACAATCCAGCAAACATAAAACAAAAGAAAAGGGCTGTTCATAACTTACATTGTATGCTGCTTCACTCGGCTGTTACTCTGTCACCAACTGCTGTCTGTCATTCAACTGCCTTCGCTCAGTGTGGCTCGCAGAAGGCATGCACCTGAGGGAGGGAACTCCTTGTTCATTGGGCAGCCTGCCTTTAATGAAGGAGGTGCTATAACAAGAGGCCATAAAAAGCCTGTTTTCTTTTTTTATCACAACTAAATGACATCAGCACCTGAGTTCCTCGACATCTCAGACCCAGCTGTAGTGAATGAACATCGACCCCATAGCTTATTTCCATGTCCAGGAATGATAGTCTGGTATCGAGGATGTCTGTTATTTCTGTTGAAGGACAGAAGGAAAGTTAGTCCAAATTGCTTGAAATAGACGCAATCCTTAACCACCTGTTAAAACATTTCATAACAACAGACATAAGAGCCACTTGATAAAAGTCACACAGGCTGGTCTCGTAAACTTGGGAATTGGAAAAATGGAGGACTTCTTGAGATGTAAGGGTGTTACCGATTGAGCCTGAGACAGGTGGAGTATCATGAGAAACACAAGCCCTAATTTGCCATCCGGAAATAACTAGCTTCATCATCAGCATGGTATTTAATTCATCGGGGACCTTTGTTTCATTTGTTAACTATTGCAGGTTTGCTCTTCAATAGATGAATTGTTAACTCTCATAGCTAACTGGTCAGGAAAAAACAGTTCTGTTTTGGACTTTCCTCTGGACTCTGTGGAGGAGCTTGGTGAGAGAAGGAGTGTCACCCCCTGCATGACACTGTGGGGGCTCCAAGCAGCTCCTTCAGCAGCAGAATCAGACATCTACCCTGCAAGAAAGAACGCTACTGCAGGTCGTTCATCACATCTGCGGTCAGATTGTTTAACAGCATCACATGACTCTGTATAATAATGTTCATCACAATCAATACGGCTACACACTGTGTGTGTTTTAATAATCACTGTTCTCTGTCGTTCCACAAGTGAAAGTGTATATAGTATATATTCCTATTATTTTATTTATGTTGTATTTTCTTCCTATATTTAATTAATGTAAATGTGTTTGTTTTTAACTTTTTGCTATTTTTTCTGATTATATTCATGTTTTTTTCAGCTGTTGTAACAACAACATTTCCCCCAATGGGGGATCAATAAAGTTTGATCTTAACTCCTAATGTAGCAAATACTGGACTCCATGGATTACTTCAGCTAATTCATCTTAGACCATGGGGTTGGTGAAACTGGCTTGCCATTTGCACTACTCTTCATCAGCTAACCTGAAAACAACCAACTTGGGTAATGTGATCCATGATAGAAACATATGTATTATTACAAACTCTGCTGCTGTGGCTTATGATGAATGTTGACGCCATCGCTTCTCAGTGAAGATGAACAATAACTTGAAGCAAGGCAGTCATATATAGTCTTGTGTATGTTTAGTCACTGTTGACAACTGCAGGTCCCCTCAATGTCATCCATGTTAAAATAAAAAATAATCAAAAAAGATTTTCTGAATATTTCACATGAATGTGTCCTGTTTTTTAAATGAATGTGGCCTGCGTGTTAGTTGTCTGTTGAGGTGAGCTTCAGGTATAGCTCACTCAATGTTTTATAAGTGGCCTTGTGTAATTTGTCATTTGTATGTGTTTATTTATTTTTGTAGCTTTTAGCAATGTTTGAATTTGTTTTGTTTTTTAGGGAGCCTTTTATCAAATCTGGCCAGGGACAACAGATGAAAATTAGCCTTTTGGCTAACTCTGGCATATTTAATGAAATGTTTATTGATATGCAATGTCCCTGTAAAATAAAATAAAAATTAAACAAAATTAAAAATGAGGGCCAAACAGCTTATGGGTACATTTCATATCATTTGAAAAGATAGGATTTTCTTCTGCTTCATGTCCCTTTAATTATGCTAAATAAGACATATATTAGAGAACATTTTGCAAACAAAATTATTCCTTTAAAGTGGTGTCTGTGGCTCAGTGGTAGAGTCGGTCCTCCCTCCAACAGAGGGTTGAGGGTTCAATCCCCAGCTCCTGCAGCCACATGTCGGATGTGTTCTTGGGCAAGACACTTAATATTAAGTTGCACCTGCTGCTTTGTTGGTGTGTATAAATGGATGAGTTAATACTAATGGTCACTTTACATATCAGCCTCTATCGTCAGTGTGTGAATGCTGGGTGAATGGGTAGGTGTGACCTGCTGTAAAATACAAGCTCATTTACTGTTTAAATGCAGCCTGATCTCTGATTCTAACACTTGACAGTCCTGAGTAATACTCATCAACTAACATATTAAAGAGTCACTGCACACCTAGACATGTTTTTGAGCAGTACATCAAATGACCTGACTAGTCTGACTTAACACTTTAAAGCCGGTATTAGTCTGACATTTCTTTGAAAAAACTACTTTTCATAGGTTGAAAATTGATAATTAAAAAAAACATGTTCTTCAAAGCTTCCAGATCTAGTTCTTAGTTAACCAGTTGGTACACATGCCCCCTCCTCAGCCTTGTTTCTATGAAGGAGTATAAGGGCCACATTAAGAGGAACATTTTTGAAGATTTCCAGATTAAAGTGATACATTTAAGATAATTAAGTCTTGAGATCAAAGTATTTATTTTAGGCTGTAGATATACCAGCAGAGCAGCAGCCACCTGTAAGAAAATGAGGAACGTGGAGCATCTTGAAGTTTTACTTTAGTAAAGGTTTCACAAATAAGGAAATACTTCATCTTTTGGCACATCAGCATCACATTGTCATAAGTATCAGGACCCCCAAAAGATACAATAAGAACCTGGAGCTTCTCCAAAGAAAGAACCACACTGACTTGGAGGAAATTGTCTGTTTTGTGGCAGAGAAAATGACTTTGAGGGTTCCCCTTTTGTAATTTTTACAGAGGTGGATGGCTCATAAATTTAATAATACACAATACATACAAAGTGCAAATGCATGGCACATGGGGAAAAGTGCGCAGATTCCAATTGTACAATTGATAAAACAAGTCCATCTGTAAAAGTTACAGAGCCAACAACATTAAAATGAGTTGCTAAGGCTTTTTTTCGAAACCGCCTACTATACTAGTAGTACGTACTGATTTGGCTAAAATGGAGTATGCAAACAAATGTGAGACCCGCAGTTTGCCAAAAATACCCGCAGATGTCTTACTGATTTGAAAAAAATTATGCATCAGACCAGTCTCGTTTGATAAGCTAGCATATCTGTTTGTCAAAATCCTCCAATGTGGCTGATCAGTGTTAGTCAACACATTCACCCCTTTATTCAGTGTCATTGTTCTGCACTGCTCCTTGTCTGGGGGAAAGTTTGTGGTAAACAGGAATGTCAAATAGTGTCAAAGCTTAAGAAGCAGGTTTGGAGTTTTCGTCAGAACCAAGAAGTAAACAAATCCTCAATAAACACTAGCTCCCAAAAATCCCCAACTTTCAGCCCCTTATAGTACGCTTACTTTGTAATAAGTCTTCTGTTTAGTCGTCAAATCACCTCAGAAATTTAACAAGAACACTTCAATGAGCTCTTATTTTATCACTTCAATATAATGAGGAATGACTGTTTTTCAGAGACAACTTGTTACAAAAATAAGTATTATTTCATCATAATTACAGATTTAATATTATTTGGTACATTTTATCACCACCACTCCCTTTCTCCCTCACTTTCTCTTTTACACACACACACTCTCACACACGCACACTGCATACAACCACATACAAATGTTTTCATTTCTCTCTCTCTTTTTGGCTATGCAGTGTTTTGCTCATGTGCTTTATGGTGATGAGGGCAGTCAGGACGCAACACAGAAACAGTAGTAGGATGGACACACAAGCCCACCACAGCTGCCTCTCTCCAAATACTTCCACCACTTCATCTCTCCGCCTGGCGTAGTCCTGGAACAGAGCCTCCAGCTGGAAAAGGGTGCACAGGGACAGAAACAGATGGAAGATCTGGTGACCCTGACCCACAAAGTCACAGCGGCCCGGGAAGAATCGCTCAGGGATGGGACAGGAGAAAAAGACAGCTGACAGCAGGAAAAAGGCAATCTGGAGGGCATGGAAGGGCAGCGAGGGCTCCTGTGCCCAGGAGACAGTACACAGGCGATGGACCACAGGGCTGATGTCCAACAGGTATGCTAGGGACATCGGAATCAGCTGACAGATTCTGCGTTCCAACGGATATGGCCGGCGATACCTGGACTTAGCGAAACAGCAGCATGCACAGGAACACCACCCAAAGAACAACGCTCCAGGTAAAAACAACAGTCCAATGCAGCTTTCCCTCCATGCGGACTCTGATGTGTAGAAATAATGACCAAGTGAGGAGCCGTACTGATAGACAGCAACACCCACATAGTCCAGGAAGAAGAAGAAATAGTGTGCATGTTCAGAGTGAGACTGAAAAAGATGAGCCGCTACACTGAAACACAGATAGGTAAGGGAAGATAGCAGGAAGACACTGAGAGGTAGAGAAGCTGAATCTAAGGTGTACCCCAGGGTGCCTACGTTGGCCCACCAGCGGAACAGCAGAACAGAACCCGCCAACAAGTGAGTCCAAACATTCAGGGATTCATTGTGTCTCTGGAAGAGGCTCAGGAGGTAGCAGCGCCAGTCCTGGTTGACGGGACGGTATCCTGACAAGATGTAGGGCTCTCGGAAGAGGCTAGGGACCTGGGAGGCTACGACTGTTGAGCGAGGGGATGGAAAGGAGGAAGGGATTTCATCAGAGAGGGGGGGCAGTCTGCACCCGTGCTTGATGCTCAGGGTCAAGGCGTTGAGCTGCTGCAGAATAACACCAATCATCTCTCGGTGAGGAGAGGGAGACGAGGTGGACGGTAGATAGAGGAGAACTGCTGGACAAAACACATGTAGGAGACAAAAAGAAACAAGAAGCTCAGTTAATTTGATAGGAGGTGAAATAGTGTTTACAGAATATCTGAAAACTTAATTATGTTTATTAAGAACGACTTAAAAATAGAACATAAACCAAAATGAACAACAGTGTGCTTTCCTTGGGTTCCCTTGTGTGCGTTTTTTCTTTGATTCATCAATCTATAAAGTGAATCAGAGCTTAAATTGTGGGGATTTTAGTTTAGATAGAAACAAACAAATCAGGTCAGAACTTTTTTAGCTCGATAGAGCAGCACGTGTGTATTCATTTGGCAAATTGGTCCAAGTTTAACTATTTGAACTCGTTTTTGCCCGCAGACAGTTGGCAGACAGAAAATTAAAAACAGTTGACACAGTAATAAAGCAGATACACACAGCGTGAAAGCATGCTTTAGTGTGAGACATTTTTTAAACTGCAGGTCACATCCACTTAAAGAAGCAGGCATGCAGTCAAACCTGAAGTCATCGCCCTACTGTTCTCTCTCTGTCACACATATACACACAACAATCCACTGCTTGTCACCAAGGAAAAGGAGCACCTTGGAGTCAACAAAACAAACCATCACTGGGCACACACATACTCACAACAGCTGCTGTATCAACTCCTTTCATGGGTACCCCTTGTTGACCCCCCTTTTTTTCATTACAAAAAATACTTCCTTATCCATGAAAATCTGCACATATTTAATCTTTCATACTTTCAAGAAGTTTTTAACTCACTTGATCTAAGTAACTTAGGCTAACTCTGGCTGAATCATCTCAGTCCTATGTTGGTGCTTTTGCATTTTAAGACAATTACAAATAATATTGACAATAAATAATGTAAAGGTATGTGCATTCTCAATCAAAACAAACAGGCTTGAAGTGGCCTGAAGACTGTTGGTTATCATCTAAGAAGAAACAACATCTCACCTGTTGCTCCTCTGAGGTCGGACTACTCAGGAAAACAGAAAAGATCGATCTTGATATGCAACAAAACTTTCTTCAAAGTGCACACAGCAGGTTTCCTGTATCATGAGGTGAGAGGAAGATTCTGGAGGCTGAAGTGAAGAAAAAAACAGAGCTGACCTCAGCAGCCTGTGGCGCTATGTGGGCGGGGTTTATATGACCGGAAACGCCCAAAAGTCCATTTACAGGCAGACACTGATCAACATCGACAAAGTGTTTTTTTTTTATTACAATCACATTCAATAGACCTATTGACTTTATGTAGCCTATAGGCTGATAGGCATGTAACACTTTTAATTACCCAGCCTATAACTTGTAGATAGGCCTATAAGTGAAAAACATCGTTATTTATGAAGACCTGTAATTTAGCCAGATGGTAAACCCGTTAAAACCATAAAAAATCAATGTTTAAGCAGATAAATTTGTCTCCATCTACTGTCTGTGATTGTACACTGCAGTCACATTCAAGTAGCCTCTGAATACATGTATCTTTAGGACTATTCGGACATACTGAATGTATAGGCTACTTTTGCAGAGATGCCATATTTTGCACACAAAGCAGAACAAAGTTTATTTAGCCTCCAGGTTGCTAAAAAGAAAATCCAAGACGTCTTTATTAAGTTCATGGTCGGCTACTTTCTTTTGTCCAGTTATTATTATTGAGTTAGGCCTAAAGAAGGCCGTTTTAATAGGTCCAATTGTTATTTGATTATAGTCCCCTCCAATGTTAAAGTTATTTTTTTTACTTTATCAAAACAATGGTCTGCTATTAAGCCATTAGTAAAATAATTTAAAAAACCATAAGCAAAAATGTGTACAACCCTGTCCCTCACATCAAACATTGTTTGTTACTATGACAACAGAGAAGATAGTGCTCTTGAATATTGTCAACTTCATTATACTACAGGCCTATGCTAAAAAAATTAATTTACAAACATAAATTCTCCAGATCGCTTCCTACATTTTCAAATTTTCTTTAAGAAATAAATGACGTACTTTTTAATTAAAAACAACAATTTCATAATTTTAGGAATTATTATGACCAGGTAACCTACTTCTCTTAGACCTCCACTTAAATAATTGTTTACCTACATAGCTAAGCGTCTTAGTAGATTTATTTATTTTTGTTTTATTTTGTTTATACGTTTCTTGTATTCATTCTTCTTCTCTAACAATTAGATAGTAAACACGGTTAACACATTTTTATTAATTTAATATCAATTCTTTCTCAGGTGACAGCATCTTGACGAAGTGAGAAAACACTCTTTTTTTTATTTCGCCATCTCGTGGACATATTAAGAAGTAGTAAGATACATTAGGCACAGCTTTCTTACAGCTCCGCCCATTCTTTCTCCGTTTTCCCGCGAGTTCTTCAAGAAGGCGGGACAAAGTGTCGTCACGATGGATTTTATTGGACAGTTATACGGGCACGCGCATTGACGCAAAGAATTACGTGCAGAGTTGGCCAATCGCTTTTCACGTTCTACTTGTACCCGGCACGTCGTGGCGCGAAAACCCAGCATTCGGGTAGCTGGATGTCAGCGGAGCACACTGTGGGGAAGTTTGTACAATATTTTAAGACTACCTAAAGCCGAATAAACAGCCAATTAAAATGGCAACCGACGTCGTAGATGACCAGGAGATGAGGGAGGCCCAGAGGGATTATCTGGACTTTCTGGATGACGATGTAAGTCTGATTTTAATTCACTTTATTAGATTGTAATGGGCTGCAATGAGAAAAACCATGCGGTGAAAACAAAAGAACTACCCTTCAACTTACTGGTTTTAAACAAGTATCTCTGTTCACGACCCATTGACACCAGTTTGCAGATTGTAAAATGTTGTATGTTGTATTTTATGCAGCTTCGTGCCACAGTTTGATGTGTATTTAGTGCAGCTGATGGCGTTAAATAATTGTTCTTCTTAACCTCAGCTACATCTGTGTATCACAATGTTTATAACTGAACTCACCTTTCTCATGTCCGTTTCTACAGCAAGATCAGGGGGTGTACCAAAGCAAAGTCCGGGACATGATCAGTGAAAATAAAGCTCGACTCATCGTCAACATCAACGACCTGAGGAGACGCAACGAGGCCCGGGCTGCAAAGTAAGGAAGTGTTCAGCTCTTCATGATAGGTGTCATTTACAGTTCTCTTGAATGGTAAAAGCGTTTACGGCGCAAAGCCAGACTTTCTTGTGTTTTTAAAGATTTTAAATGATGAATTACATAAATCTTTATACAACCTTACAGGTATTGGTTCTATGTATTCGTCTATGTCTTGTAATCACTGGTGTGTTAACTGGTCAGGCATGACCTGTGTGTTTTGTTATGTCATATTCTGCACATGCTGGTTTAGCCTGAAGTTGTACCATCACTGGTATGTTATGTCTGATGCACCATTTCGCTGGGTTGTTACTTTAAGTAAAAAAAAAAAAAAAAAACCCAGCTAAAATGAATTAAGGAGCTTTTGGATGTTCAGTCAGTCTTAATTTGTATATCGCCAATTCATAACAAATGTTATCTCATTAAAAGACATCTCCTGAGACTGTTGGGCTTTTACAGTGGGATAGAGGGAGATACAGGTAGAAGGACGGAGACAAACAGAGCAACAACAATGAATAAGCTAGATTTATAGCTACACTGTCTGTAATAATGGTGAAAGTATTTGTTGTATTAGCATAAACAGCTCAGTATCAGAGGACCTGAATTCACATCTTGACCAGTTAAATGAAACAAATGAAACACACAGAGTAAAATACATGCAGTAGGTCCATGAATCATTTGTCCTCTGCTCTCTTTCAGACTCATGGGTAATGCATTTGAGGAGCTGCTGGCCTTCCAGCGGGCTCTGAAAGACCTCGTGGCCTCGGTCGATGCCACCTACGCCAAGCAGTACGAGGAGTTCTTCATCGGCCTGGAGGGCAGCTTCGGCACCAAGCACGTCACCCCGAGAACTCTGACGTCCCGCCTGCTGGGCAGCATGGTGTGCGTGGAAGGCATCATCACCAAGTGTGAGTTGTTTGTTTGTTTGTTGTTTCATGTTGTGAATGAATACTTGTTACTTTAAAGGCTTAATTTAAGTCGTTTGTCCAGCATGTTTCCTTGACAAAGTGATCTGAATGTGTGTTCAATTTCTCCCTTCACGTTGTTCTGCAGGCTCTCTGGTGCGTCCTAAAGTTGTGCGCAGCGTCCACTACTGCCCGGCCACCAAGAAGACGATGGAGAGGAAGTACACGGACATGACCTCCCTGGATGCCTTCCCCTCCAGTGCCATCTACCCTACCAAGGTAACTTTCCTCTGCTTTTCAGTCGACTTCAAAAGCTCGATTTCCCACCATGATTGTCTCCTCATTCTTCCTCCTTCTCCTTGCATCACTTAACTACTCATTCTCTCCCTCCCCCCCACAGGATGAGGAGAACAACCCTCTGGAGACAGAGTTTGGCCTCTCCAGCTACAAGGACCACCAGACCATCACAGTACAGGAGATGCCAGAGAAAGCGCCTGCTGGTCAGCTGCCCCGCTCAGTGGACATCATCCTGGACAACGACCTGGTGGATGTGGTCAAGCCTGGAGACAGAGTGCAGGTCATCGGGACGTACCGCTGCCTGCCTGGCAAGAAGGGAGGGTTCACCTCCGGCACGTTCAGGTGAGAGTTGAGGAAGTTAGCTCATGTCAGTGTGTATCTGCTTACAGGAAGCTGAGTTAACCCTTTTTCCTTTCCTATTGGTTTCCATGTTCTTCTACTCCAGGACCATCATGATCGCCTGCCATGTCAAACAAATGAGCAAGGAAGTGGCCCCCCACTTCTCGGCCGACGATGTCGCCAAAATCAGGAACTTCAGCAGGACTCGCTCCAAGGTAAGACGTTCAGCCTTCTAGCTCTTCAAGCTGGTTAACTTCATCTCACCCTATCTTTTAATGAAAACATGAATTCTCCCTTCTCTGTTTTTTTACACAGGATGT